TGAGAAGTTACCCAGTGAGTGAGTTATTGTAAGTCTGAACGTAGTCATCGTGTTTCTCTCTTCTACAGAAGCATCCTCGTTGAGTTTGATTGTGTGAGAAAATGACACCCTCGCCCGCCTCACTCTCCATTCCGCTGAGGGACACAACCCTATCTAGCCGAACCCCGAAGGACATAGGAGCTTATACAACTTTTCTCAGCAAGTCAAGAAAATCCAAAAGTGGGCTTTGGGCTTACCTTAAATCAGAATGGAATCTACCGCTAAGAGATGGTCATAATGATGACACCATTTTCATTTGTGCAGGGGGTGTGCAGTCGTATAAATGAGGATGGTGGAGGAAGAGGAGTTTGGGTGGAGGGAGATGGTGCATAATAAGTGCGTGAGCTACACAAAGCTCAGGCTCCACTGGACTGGCGGTGGCTTACGGAGATGCTCTGCGGGTGGATGACCCAAGGGCAGGCCTGTGCCTGTCCCTTTGTGCATGCTGCGTGATTTCGAATTCAAACTAACTTCACATAATTAGGAATTTCAGGGCATGCAATTCCAGTGTGCAAACGGCTTGCATATGTGCAGTTTTGACAGGGGTGAAGGCAAAACCACAGGCCCCTCCCGCACCGGGTGTGTGCTCCTGGTGCTCGGCGGGATCCACTCCCCGTGGATGCAAGAGGCGGCTGTGGGCTTCTTCGGGATCCCCACAACGTGGGAAGGGTCCCCTGAGACTTGTGCTTCATGTGCCCGGGGCCCGGAGTTGAGTGGGAGCTGCTGGTGGGAGGTGAGAAACAGGTTCCAGCTGCTGTGGGGACAACTTCCCTGACAGGCTGTGGGAAGCAGATGCCCACGGCAAGGACGCTTTGAGCACGTGTTCTCGCACAGTCCCGCACAAGTTTGTTAAGCCTGTGAGACTGGATAGATCTCTTGGGAGTTAGTCTAGGACACCACGTTTAAACATTACTTCTCAATAAGCGGCCCACGGCTTTTTGAAGCCACGCTTGCTGCCCCAGGACCATCAGAAACCGACGCCCAGGAAACAGGGCACATGCGCCCTGGTGGTTGCCAAATCTCTCACCATTGCAATGAGCAATCATTATAATCCCTTTCTTGCCTTCTGAACACTGTGGTTCTTTGAACATCCTCTAGTCCCTGGGGAAGGTGCCCTGACCCACCTACACCCCACCAGTGGCACATGATGACAACGCTGAATGGCTCTGCAGTGGAGGAAGACAAGGAGAAACAGCGAATTCAGCTAGTGGCCTTCCCACAGCTCAGAGGCGCCTGACCAGGAACTGGGGGCCTGGACTGGCTCTGTGTAAGTGGACAAACGATGTGCAGTTTGGGGCTGTCTGGGGGTGCCCCAGTTTCTCCCCATTTGATATTAGGCCTTACAGAAAAAGAGGACGACTGTTCTTGTTTAAGGAGAAGTCCTCTATCTTTTCAGATAGGTTGTGCTCCAACATAGTTTTAGAACATAAAATCTGATATGACAAAGTAGGGATTTTTTAAGCCTAACATTTTATTTCCTTGCTGGGAGTCAGTTGTCAGAGGAGGAGGGCGGCTTAGCCAAGAGGAAGTGCGTTGCTCTAGTTAGGACCATGAGGCCAAGGCCTGCCAGGGCCCGTGCGGACTTGGGCACGGGCTCCAAGGACAGGTGGTCGGAGCAAGCCTTCCCACTGGGGCCCAGCATAGGCTGCGCTCAAACCCACCTGCTGAGGTGTCCCCTCCACCACCGTGGGCACTTGTGTGTGGACAAGCTAGAGTTCTCCACCAAAACCAACACAATTTTTGCAGCTTTCACTGTTAGCAAAGAGGAACTAAATGTGATGGGAAACACAAGGGTTTAGACTGAACAGAGCAGGAGTTGAATCCTGGTCCTGCCTCTCAGAGCTGTGTGACGTTACTCAAGTCCCTAACCTCTCTGGGCCTCAGATTCTTCATTGACAACAGGAAGATTATAACAATACCTCCCTCCACGGGCTGTTTGAAGGAGAGTGAAGGGAAGCACACAGAGGTGCCCAGTTCCTGTGAAGCCAGATTTAGGTACTAGTCATGAGTGTTGCCTTAATTTGTGGCCACACCCAAAGGCCCGCTGGAGACTATTTCGAATGGACAGGAGAGCTATGACTGCCCTTCCCTGTGCTTGTCAGTGCAGAACATGTTGAATCCAGTGTAGAAGGAAACTCACTCATTTCACAAAGAATGAAGAAAAGGTCCCTAAAGTGACTAGCGCCTGCCAGGTATGGAGGACAGAGTGTTGGGCAGATGGCTGCCTCTGGGGCCAGTTTTCTGATACACATGCTTTTTCCAGCCAATTGTGAAGCACAACCCAAGAAGGGCACCTGTCTACTGTGGCTCTTCCCCCTGCGCAGCTGAGAGACTGAAGGCGACAGATTCTGAGTTGGGAGGGCCCAGCCTGCAAACTAGCTCCCAGCAACCCGGAAGGGGAGGGAGGCGCTTGTGCGCTGAGGTTCGCTTGCACTCCCACCCCTCGGCTCCTCCTTCCGAATTCCTGCAGCCAGCTACCCTAAAAGCAAACAGCCAAACAGAAAAGGAAAATGGGACCTGTTTAGTGCCTCAATGTCCCTGGACATTAGTGCTGATATTGTAGATATTAAAAGTGCTGATATTAAAAAAAAAAAAAAAGAGCTTTGGATTACAGACGGAGGCTCAGAAACCAAGCGAACACCATAAGGGGGTCACACGCTGCCTTGGCGTCCCAGATGCTGCCCCCCTGCCCAGACCTCCAACTCCGACAATGAGGATTTTCTAAGGAAAACCAAGTCAGGGCACTCGGGGACGGTTTCCCCAAAAGCCCTGCATGAAGCTCATCTGTCGGTATTCAAACTTAATTTTCTTCCTTATACTAATGCATCTGAATCCCAGGAACAAACACTTAATTTTCATTTGGCTTATGCTATGCAACACACAGACATGTGTGCAACACACATGATAGGCACACATGATAGGCACGCACGTGCACACACGTGTTCACACATGCAACACAACACACATACACAGGCGCACACAGAGTGATTTGAATTAAGCATGGCCTCTAGTGGAGTGACTATTTTTTTAAGATAGTGAATAGATTTGATATGGAACAGAATGCATTAAATTTTCAGGGAAATTTAAAAATAAAAATGTATGAGTCATTAGATGATGGCATGGCGTTTAGGGAAGTCTAGCCCCAAAATGTGGCACTGAGTCTGCGGTGCTTATGGAACGGACCATGGAAGTGACACATGTCCTCACATCCTGTTACAGGATCTGCCTCCAGTATCATGTGAACGACAGGAGACCAGCATGGGAAATCCCCGGGACACTTTCCAGAGTGTCCCTGCGGGTTCCCCGAGGTGAGGGGGGACCAGGGGGCCTCTGAACACCCCCACCCGTGTCTCTTTGGGGTCATGACTCTGCGAGGGAGGAATATCCACACTGAGGGAACAGGTGCCGTGGCAGGGGCCCTGCCCTGTGATGCTGGCACCCAGCCCCGTCCAGGCCACCTCAGGGGCCCTGGGACCCCACAACCAGCCGCTCTGTGTCCACTTTCCCACGTGAGGCCTGCCCTGCAGCTCCTTGCTGTCAGCTCACACAGAATCACAGACACCCGCGGCTTCCAGGAGCCGCCTGTGCCGCGTTCACCCCCACCCCCAACAGCAGGGCCTGTCCACCCCAGTGCACCCAAGTCCATCTGTGGGAAATGGCAGTTAGAAGAGCCTTCCTTCCACTGAGCCAGACTGAGCCTTCCAGAACGCCTCCTCTGGCTCCGTCCCCCATCCCGGCCCTGCACTGGTCCCCGCCTGGCACAGCGAGGGCCGGGGCCACAGGAGGCTGAAGCGACGTGAGTCCCTACACCACCCACTTTGCCGACTGTGGACACCTGCCTGTGGCGTCCCCTCCCCGGTGCCCAAGAGCATGGAATGATTTGTGTACCAATGGTTATCTGGGGTATCTGCGTTCCTCGAGTAAGACCTTTCTCTCTGTCATCCCCCAAGCTCAATTTGAAGGTCTGAGCCACCAAGATGAACCTCCCCACACCCAGGCCAGCCTGGCATGGGGTCCCTGATCCTGGACACATGTCCAGAGGGCTCTTGTCCACCGGATGGCACTAGCAGCATGGAGGGCCAATGAAGACAACTTTCAGCATGCCACCATTTCCCTGAAACGGTGTACCATGGGTAAGCCTTGTCATCCTTTTAATGTTGCCGCCACAAACTGTGCAGCTCACCACCCTCGGTAGAGGGAGACCGGTACTGAGATTTGCTGATCCGAACAGATCTTGGATCGGGAGGTGTGATTGCCTCCTCCTTCCTCCCTCACCCGAGCCAGGCGTGGAGTGACAATGACCTGAGGAGGGTTTGACACAGCTCTGCCTGCTCACCGGACCTGGGATGCTGAGCTCTGCCCAGTCCTGATGGCCCACGGGAACCGAGGTGCCAGAGCTGGGTCTTCAGGAAGGGGTGGGGCTTCGGGAGTGGCAGCCCCCCAGAGCCAGGGAACTGGGCAAACTCGTGTGCATAGCTTGTCTCTGAATTGCCAATCTGCTTTGGACCAGACTCATCTCCACAGGATAGAGTTAGAGTTATTGCTTCTATGACAGGTGTTCCAGAAGCCCCGGTGGCTTTAGAGTCTGAGAAACACGGGCTGGCAACTTAGGTTTCTGGGTCTGTGGGGGGCGTCTGCCTGTAGGACGCAGACACCCGCAGGGGTGGGCAGGGCCCACGGAGACCTTTGGAAGCATTCTGGGCTGTGCTCTACGCTACGGTGGCAGGCAGGGGAGGCATGCGAGGGTGGGGAAGGGCCACAGCATCATCGAGCGGGGCTGGAGTGGGCGTGGGGCTTTTCATCATTTTTGGTACGAGTAAACAGGCAGCACCTGTAACGGGTGCACTATTTACAGAGCCTCTTAAATAACTTAGAGGGAATCCTACCCAAATGGCTCTAACATTTTTACATGAATATTGTACATGATTAAAAATAAATAAGGCAATATAATACAGTTTTATCACAAATAAAAAGGAAGTTGTTTTTCGCCAAACCCCAAGGAACATTATGGCTAAACACAGTTCCTGAACTCCCAGGAAGTAGGTGGGGTTTGGAGTTGCTGATGATGGAGATGTTTGCCCCGTGAAGTGGAGACCTCGCCAAGGCTGCCGTGGGGTCCATTTCAGAAAAGTCGTGTGCCCAGGGGAGGAAGTGTGGTCCCCGGGATGGCTTCCTCCTGCTGCTGCGTGACTGACCTGCTTTGAGTGGTGTCACGGATGCACATGTGTGATCTCCCGGCTCTGTGATCCCAGGCCAGACGCCGTGTGGCAGCTGGCTCTTTGCTGAGTCTCACAGGCCAGACCGAGGTGTCACCAGGCTGGGCTCTGCTCCTCCTGCAGGCTCTGGGCGAATCTGCTGTGGGCTCGCTCAGGCTGTTGATGGATTCAGCTCCTTGTAATCGTGGGAGTGACGTCCCCACTTCCTTGCTGGCTGGGGCTGGGGTTGTCAAGTTGGCTGTGGCCAGGAACGATGGTGCCATCCCTGACATGCTTCGAATCCTTCTGGGCTCTTCTGCCTCCTTCATCCACTTCCAAGGGGCCACGTGGCCGCACTGAGCCCACTCGGGTAGTCCAGGATCCTCTGCCATCCTAAGATCCCTGACCTTGATTCCGACTGCAAAGTCCCCTTTGGCAAGTGACAGAGCGTAGCCACAGGGCTTACGTCTACGGTGTGGACACCTCTGGGGGCCACTCCTCTGTCTACCCCCTACCCGGACAGCCTGGGGTGGGCAGCGGCACTGGCTGTGCCAGCGAGGCTCTCCACCCTCTGCACACCGTGCAGGCAGCGGCTGGCAGCTGGGCCCCAGCCAGGTGCTCAGCTCGTGGAGAGCTCAGATGGACCCTGGACCTCGTGATGAGCCTGCCTGTCCTTAGGCACCCTCGCAGGCAGCCCAGTGATTCTGCACAGCCATAGGCTCCTGTGGACGCCCCAACAGCGGCCGGAAGCCCCCTCTAGCATCTCCTTCTGCCCTAGGGCTTCTTGGGAGCCCAGCCCGCACCAGTGATGCCAGAACACCAGGGTGCATGAGCGGACAGTGACATGTGGACCACAGGAGGAAGACAAAAGCTGCCCATTCTCCAGCCCTAAACTCTCTGGGGGATCCAGGAGGTAACCTGCCCTGGCCTGTGAGCTCCCTGCTGCAGCCAGGAAAGGCCATGGGTCAAAATCACTCTCAGGAAGGTGCCAAGAGACCATCCAGCCCCCTTGCACATCACAGAAGCCACAGCCCAGCCCAGAGAGAAAGAAGAGTGGATGGGGTGCGCTCCCCACGGCCCCATCTGGCCACCTATGGTCCCCGGCCTGCACAAAGCCGCTTCCACTCTCCCTTGCCAGAAGCTGTCCACCCTGTCCGCCTCTGTCCTGAGTCTTGCCTCTGCTGGAGCCCCTACCACCAACCCCGAGTCCCTCTGGAACAGGCACCTGGCCAGCCCCAACCCGGCTGCCCTGCAAAGCCCGCAGGCCTGGCCTCCCCAGCTACGGCTGAGGTCCCTGCTGCCCCCGCATGGCCACACGGCTGAGCCAGGGTCGCCCTCCCCATGCGGGAGGCCATGTCTAACATGCCACGGTGGGAGCGGCTGGAGGACATCACCTGCCCAGCCTGACGGGGGTCAGTCCAGAGGAGGCCCCACACAGACCTACGCTCCAGGAAAGGAAGTCTGGGCTGTTCTCTGCTCCTTTTCTGAAAAGTCAGGACCCCCAGAAAGGGAGTAGAGCCCTTATGGAGCAATGAGGAGAGGGACTCCCCCAAGCCAGCTGGCTTTGAGCAGAGACAGGCTCAGGTCTCCCCTGCAGTCCACAGAAACCTCTCTGAGCATGTTTCAGAGCAGCGGGTCTCCAGAACCTTTCCTCCCATCTCCAGCCCCCTTCCTCCCTGTGCCCGAGGTCCAGGGTCTCCACGTGCCAGGACGTGCCTGGTTATTTCTGGCCAGTCCCACCCCACTGGCTCTCCTGGACCCCTGAGCCCCTCATCCTCATCTCCATCATGATCATCTAGACATGCAGGTGGGAGGTTCCCAGATCTGGACACAATCGCCTGCAGTCACGTCCCCTGCAAGCTGGAGCAGGGACACCTGGACACATGACCATAAGCCAACTCTGAAACAGCCCGTCCAGGAGGGCTGGCTCTGCCGGAGAAACATGTCCCGTCAAGGAAGCCTGCTCATGGGCACGAGGGCCACTCCTTTTCAACACACATGCAGCCTTGCACTGTTGCAAATGTACAGGACTCACGACACCACAGAGAAAAGGAGGAAATGACACCCGTCCCTCTTCTCCTGTGAACAAACACAGCAGTGACGTGCAGCACAGGGAACGTCCAGGTTTCGCAGGAGCGGGATCCAGCAGGTGGCGCAGCTGGGGAACACACAGGCAGAACAAGAAGCCGACGCTGGCCGTGATTATGGAGAGGGGGCTGGGGGCCCCCGGAGAATTCCAGAAGACCTACCTCCGGCTTTGAGCAAACAACCGCTCTGAGGAAAGGCAGTGGCCACCACTATCCATGCAGTGCGAGGCAGCTTCTCAGTTCTCCCCAAACTGTCCAGTCTGAGCGTGAACAGCCCCAGCCCAGTGAGGCCTGACTTCCCACTCTGGCTCCCGAAGCCGCTGCCCAGGGCTGGAGCCGCCTGCATGCTGGGACCCGCCTCGGCCGGGGTGGCTCAGGGCACACTCAGCAGGCTCCTCGGCCACTCTGCCAGCCAGACCTCCGCAGCTGTCGCTGTAGCCCCGGCGGATGTTCTGAATTCCTGACATTGACGCCAACCTGGCCAAACCCGCACAGGCCTGCTGGAAAGAGACGGTGCTCATTCTGCCATGGATGGGGAGGATGGAGTGGACACACAGCCTGCGAGGCCTGGATGTGTGTGCAGACAGGGTCCTCCCCTCACCAAGTCACTGCTGTGCTGCTTCTGCCGGGTTGTTGGCCCTCAGGCCACAGGCCATGCCTGGACAATGCTCCTCCTCCGGCCTGGCCACTGCCCACCTGCTCCACTGGTTTGGCTCGTCCTGGCTGGAGCTGCAGTGGCCTGTGTCGCCCCAGAGCATTCTCGCCCTGTGTGCACCCCCAGCGGCCAGCGTGGGCTCGTTAAGCCTCCTTCCCGGCTGCTGTGGAGGGCAGGTACTGGCTGGTGGGGTGCGGGGGGAGCCCGGCCCTGACTGGGAGCCCAGCCGGGGGGCCCACTGGGGGGTGTCTGGCCTGAAGGCCGGCTCTCCCATAAGGACACATTTTTCGCTCCAAGCCTAGGGACCTAGTCTGGGAGCCGTTTCCATCAGTCCTGCCTTCCAAAAAGTATGTCAACATCTCGCCCTTGCCCTTGACGCTGACTTTGCCTCTGCACACGAAGTGGTAGGAGCACCTTCTCAGCAGCCGGTGGACTTCCTCAGTCACCTGTTGGCACAGAGAAGCATGCGTTACGGGCAACAAGGGAGGTCCTCTGGGGATGGGAGCCCCACTGTGTGTCTGGGAAAAGACCGGAACATTCCATCCTGCATCTGTTGCTGCCTACCCTGACTGCCCGACCCTGGCAGTGCCCGTACACAGCTTCCCCAGCTCAGCCTGGCAGCCAGGGCCCCGCTCCTGCTGCAATCACTTGGGTCACTCCATAAGGACAAGGACACGACCCTGCAAAGACAGCCCAGGGGACTGAGAGGAGCCTAAGGAGCCAGCCCCAGGGAATCCCACTGCCACGTCCTGGCCAACAGGAGGAGGTGACATTCACTGAGCAGCGCCCCTGGCTCGGCTGGGAAGGGTGGCCCAGGAAGCACCCAGATGGGGTACACAGGTGGGCAGGGCCAACAGGCACCTGGCACCAGGGTGGGGTGTGAGCCCCGTGGCGCACACCATGCCAGAGGCTGCATGAGATGCAGCGCCAGACGCTGGGAACAGAAAGGAGCAGGACTCGCCTCTGGGCCTGGGGCTCTGGGCGCTTCAGCAACCTGGGACAGTTCCAGGTCAGGGCGCACAGAATGCGGGAGGTCAGGTAGCAGGTACCAACCACCTTGGCTGGGAGGGGACAGTGGAGAGCAGAGCACACAGCAAGGCCAGGCTTCCAACCCCCCACTGGGCGCAGTGGTATGGGGTGGGGATGCACACCCGGGGGGCCCCAGCACACAGAGGGCGCTGGGCAAACTACCTGGAGAAAACAGACATGACGCAAACCTGTCTTTCAGGTTCCCAGCCAGTATTCTAGCGCAAAGAATTCCTGCTTCACAAAGTTAGAAGAAAGAGAAAGGATAAGAAAATACCTTCTACTAGCCACAGTCAGTCCTGTGACCAGAAGACACACTATTGGTGTCTGAGCTTTACGCTGGAGGAGTGATCCTAAAGTCACTTCTCCCTCCCCGTCTCCTGGCTGCTCCCCCACTCCAACACGTGGTGCAAACTCTGTTGTCTTTAGTTAAAACAACTCACTCCATCCCAAGCCCACCTTCTCAGGGCCTGGCCCAGCAGAGCTGGGGAGGGTGGCCTCTGGCAGTGTGGCGGGGGTGCCAGGAAGTCAAGCGGGGGAGGGGAGACCTGCTTGACAGACAGACCCTGCTTATGCCAGAGTAACATCCTGGGCAGTGGGGGGTACACCTACCAGGCTGGGGGAGGACAGGGGCAAACGACCCATGCATGGGGCAGGAGCATGACAAGGCAGTGGCAGGCTTAGGTCTGATTTCAGAAATTTAAAAATGCAACGTGGCATGGGGCAGTAGCCAGGCTGCGGACAGGAGGGGGTCCCAGGAAGTTCTCCCCTGGGGCGTGTCCAGCTTTAGGGAAGCCTGCAGGGAGTGCAGGCGCATGGTCATGGTAAGGAAAATACAGTGCAAAGTTCTACGGATGGATGGTGGTGGCAGCTGAATGTACTTAACGCCGCTTAACTATACGATTAAAAATAGTGAAGGTGGGCCGGGCTCGGTGGCTCACGCCTGTAATCCTAGCTCTCTGGGAGGCCGAGGCGGGCGGATTGTTTGAGCTCAAGAGTTCGAAACCAGCCTGAGCAAGAGCAAGACCCCGTCTCTACTAAAAATAGAAAGAAATTAATCAGACAACTAAAAATATATAGAAAAAATTAGCCGGGCATGGTGGCACATGCCTGTAATCCCAGCTACTCGGGAGGCTGAGGCAGGAGGATCGCTTGAGCCCAGGAGTTTGAGGTTGCTGTGAGCTAGGATGACGCCACGGCACTCTAGCCCTGAAGACATTTTAACAGAACCAACCAACTGGAAGAATTATTTAGAGCATCTTTTTTCATATGGTGATGGAAATGATTCTAAATGTGGTTATAAAAATAAAAGAATCTTAAATTTTTTTAAAAAAAAAAAGAATGCAGAGGTGCAGAAGTGCTTCATGGAAGTCCCTGACTATGTTCTAACAGGAGAAAAGACTTTATGAAGACTTTCTACCTGGCCCTTAAACTGCCCCCACAGATTAGCCACCATCATGCACCAGGGGACCAGCCTTCCCTCCAAGGCCCCCTGAGGCCTGCAGGTCCCAAGCAGGCAGCCACAGGGCTGGGCGGCCCTCACAGGCCCCATCTGACCCACTTGGGCTCCACCCTGGTGGTCATCAGGACTGGGTCAAGTTTCAAGTTTGTTCTAAGGGAAGTCCCGAGAACCAGACCACACTCCTCCACACTGAGGAAAAGCAGAGGCTGTGGCCTTCCAGACCTTTCTGTGGCTCCTGGAAGGTATCACAGCCACCAGGTCTCATCCCACCTGAGCTGCCCAGAAGTTCCTCGAACGAGGTGGGCACCCACAGCAGCCTCTCTTCAAACAGACGAGAAAGCCCTTCCCTTCTACAGAAGCCAGGTGGGCGGGGACCAGAGTCCTGGGACATGTGGAGGGAACGGGAGCAGCCAGGCCATGGGGCGTGGCCGCACGCCCCTGTGACTCAGTGCTCTGGAGTCGGTCCAGCCCCCAAGGCCGCACGGCAAAGCAGACAGCGCAATCAAACTGCCCAGCCCAGAAACGCTCTCTAGAGCAGACAGACTGAGATATGCAGCTAGTTCAGCCCTGCCGCTTACTGGCTGCAGACCCGGGGTTCGACCCTTGGCCTCCTGTGCCTCAGTTTCCTCACCTACAGAATGGGTACCTGTGCCCTGGGGATTTCCGGGTCAACTGACCTGGATTCTGCCCTGGACCCCGGTGCTGTCCATCCGACTGGCCACGTTCACTGTGTTTCCCCAGATGTCGTACTGAGGCCTGCGCGCTCCGATCACTCCAGCCACCACGGGGCCGACGTTGATGCCTGGAAGACAGCCACGATGTGGCCTGTTGTCAGCTGGAAACATGTGACTCACCCTGCCAGGGCCACCCGGTGCACTTGATGTTGCTCCTTTCAGGGTCCTTTTGGGGTCACCTAGTGCCAGGCTCCTCCCTAAAGCACCCCACACAGCTCCACAGAGAGGCACTGTGAGCCTCGCCTGCACGCGGCTCCCGCGGGGCGTGGGGGTGGCACCCTAGTGACACTGCCTGCTGCACCAGGGAGCAGCATTGGTCCTCAAAGATGATTCCTAATCCTGAGGAAAAATCCCATTTCCTGGAACAATGGCCCCTGTGCTACGTCTTGCCACAGAAGCCACTACGAAATCTGACCTTTTGGTCTCTATGACCCCAAGTGCATCCTCTTTTCCAGAAAAATAGCTGCTCCTGACCCTTCTCAGGCTGCATCCCTGTGGCTATTTTAGGGTGTGGGTCCCAGAACTGAGCACGATGGCCCAGGACGCTCTGGTAGGAGGGATGGAGGACCCTTCTTTTTGTAGCTCAGGATCCAACTGGTCTCTGGGCAGCTGCAGACCAGATGGACGGCGTCACAATGACCCCAGGGGCACCCGTGTTTGAATCATCCCTTGGGTGACTTTCAGCAATGTGCTCTCTCTGGGCCTGGGCTTCCTCTCCTGTAAATGGGGCACACACTAAGCTGTGACACCCTGGCCTGTCCTTGGTGGGATGTCCGGGGGGTCCAGCATGCCATCAGTTCTGTTAGTACAGCTGCTGTGGCCACTTCTTGCAACTAGGGCTTTCTGGCCCAGGCTGAGACCACACCCTATCTTCCTTTTGTGTGTTCATGGACTGATTTTTCTGAGCTTGTCCTAGTTAATTCCTCTGAAGTCCTGGACAGAGCATGGGAGGAGTGTGGGGTGGGGAGAGGTGGCCCAACAGTGTGAGCTGGGGCAGGTGGACATGGGAAACCTAGAGAGGAACCTCAAAAGGCCACTTCCTGGATGGCTGGTGGGACTTGGGGAGCCCCTCTGCCAACCCCAGACACCCCCACCTACAAGCAAGAGATGGGGCCAACGTCACCATGCTGGGTAGAAGGGTCATCGCATGACCAACCACTGGGCCACAGCCGCAGGGCTCCACTGCGGGAGAGCAGGGAATGGGACGTCCCTGATCCCCATCACACCTGTTTCCTGACTGAGCAGCGCCCAGGGCCCAGCCCTCAGCCGGACGCCATGCCCAAAACACTGCATGCTTCTAGGACATCAGAACTTCACCACCCTTCCCACTCAAACGCAGCTCCAAGGCTGGATTTTAAAGCCACTAGATGTTTGAATTCTAGAACAACCATAAAATGCTATTTTAACTATATCCTGGACTAGTGGGAATTTTTCTGGTAAACTGTCTACATCTCAGAAAAAATGAATTTAGGATGTAAAAAACCCAACAAACCCTAGTTTCATAAAATCTAGAAAGGAGCTTGGACATCCCATGGTTTTCCCTCCGCAGGCAAGGGAAGGAGCTCAGAGAAGACAAGGGCCTGCCTGAGTCCGCGCAGGTGGGCTCCCGCCAAGGCCTCTTGCTGGGCAGCCCGCGCAGCCTCACTCCATGCTGCCAGGGCCGGCCGAGGGGAAAGGCGCATTTTCCTGCAGCTAAGTGTGGACTCGGAGGAGCGTCTGAAAGTCTCCAGGACAATCGAGATTTCTAATGTGTTTCATGAGCTCGGGGCAGTGAATCTTCAAAGTCCTAAGTCACTTTCTGAAGCATCCCACTTCCACAGGCAGCTTTCAGGGGCAACTCTGCTCATGTGTCCCCATGTTCTCCTGGTTGGCATCACCTTCCTTCCTTCAAGACACCCGCCAGCTGATTCCGCCCCTAGGAAGGCACAGAAAGGGTGTTCTACACCGAAGGGATAGGCTTAGAGCCTCGTACCAACTCGGAGGACAAAGTCGTTGTAAGACTGGTAGTTAATCTCATCCAGGACGTCAAACATCTCAATGGCAAAGTCCGCCAGTGTGCTCAGGTGGGAGGAGATGGACTTCTTAGCCTAGGTGTGAACAGACAGGGATCATTACGTTTGGGATCACCAGGCAGGTGGGGGGCAGGGAGCCCTGCAGCAGTTGTGGGATTGGGGACTTGATTCCCTTATCAACAACACAGCAGTCCCGTGGACTGCAGGTGCTCTTGGTGCCTGGCTGGGGCACATCATTCCATTCTACAGGAAGGAGACTGAGGTATTGCCCAAACCCTGGCTCCTGAGGGGCAGAGACAGGATTCACCTGAGTCTGTCTGCGAGGGGTGGGGAGGAGGGGGCAGCCCTGTGAGCAGGAGACCAGGTATCCAAACTCCTGCTTGGACAATGTTGTCAGTGCCCATTGCAAATGAGCAAAGCAAGGACAGAGACGCATGTCAGATCTTGAGATCGAGACTGCATCTTTCTATACGTGTGTGACAAGGTCCTTTTGTGAAACAGTGGCAGTTGTAAGGTTTCTAATTTTTATTTTTTAAGGAAATTTTATTAGTCCTCAAAGTCACGGAACTAATGTTTTTTTCAATTTAACAGATTTTATTTTTTAGGACAATTTTAGGTTTACAGGTCAACTGAGCAGATAGCAAGGAGAGGTCCCAGGCACCCCCTCTTCCCCCACATGTAGTTTCCCTATTGTTATTATCTTGCATCAGTGTGATGCATTTGCTACAACTGATGAACCCATACTGATATATTATTATTAACCGAAGTCCATAATTTACATTAGGATTCACTCTTGGTGTTGTCCATTCTATGGGTTTTGACAAATGTACGATGACACGTATCCACTATGACAGTACTACACAGTTTCATGGCCCTAAAAATCTTCTTAGCTCCTTTTCCCCAGCCCCCAGCAACCTCTAATCATTTTACTGTCTCTATAGTTTTGCCTTTTCCAGAATTTCATATAGTTGGAATCATACATTATACAGCCTTTTCCGACTGGCTTCTTTTATGTAGTGATGTGTATGTATTTAAGGTTTCTCCATGTCTTCTCATGACTTGGTAGCTCATTTCTTTTTATCATCTAATAATATTCCATTTTATGGATATACCAGAATGTGTTTATCCTTCACCTATTGAAGAATATCCAGGTTTTGGTGATTATAAATAAAGCTATTAATATTCATGTGAAGGCTTCTCCATGGACATAATTTTCATCACATTTGGGTAAATGCCAAGAAGCACAATTGCCGGGTCATATAGCAACAGTAGGTTTAGCTTTGTAACAAAGTCAAACTGTCTTCCTCAGTGACTGTGCCATTTTGCATTCCCACCAGCAATGAACGAGAGTTCCTGCTGCTCCACATCCTCACCAACATGTATCTTGTCAGTGTTTTGGATTTTAGCCATTCTGGTAGGTATCTAGTGGTGTCTGATTGTTTTAACTTGCATCTCCCTAACGACCTATGATGCTGAACATCTCTTCACATGCTTATTTGTCACCTGTATATTTTCTTTGGGGAGGTGCCTGTTCAGATTATGTGCACACTTTTTAACTGCTTTTTTTCTTATTGTTTAATTTTAAGGGTTCTTTTTATATTTTAGATAAAAGTCCATTATCAGTAGGTGATTTGCAAAAAGATTTTCTCCTAGCCTGGGGCTTGACTTTTCATTCTCTTAACAGTATATTTCACAGAGTAATAATTTTTAATTTTAATAAAATCCAACTTACCATTTTTTTTTCATGGATCATGTTCTTGGTGTTGTATTTAAAAAAATCATTGCCAAAATCAAGGTCATCTAGATTTTTCTCCTCTGTTATCTTCTAAAAGTTCAAGTTTTGCCTTATACATTTAGGATTATCCATTTTGAGTAAATTTTTGTGAAGGGTATCAGGTGTGCATCTATATTCCTTTTCTTGCATGTGGATGTCCAGTTGTTCCAGCACTATTTGTTGAAGAGACTCTCTCTTTGCCATTGTATTGCCTTTGCTCCTATGTCAGAGATCAGTTAACTCTAGTAGTGTGGGTCTGTTTCTGGGTTCTCTATTCTGTTCCATTCATCTATTTGTCTCTTCTTTTGATAATGCTGCATTGTCTTGATTACTGTAGCTTTATAGTAAGCCTTGAAGTTGGTAGCATCAGTCTTCCAACTTTGTTCTTCCTTGTCAATATTGTGTTGTTTGTTCTGGGTCTTTTTTATTTCCATATAAACTTAGGATTAGTTTGTCAATATCACAAAATATCCTGGTGGGGTTTTGATTGGAGTTGTATTAAATCTACAGATGAAGTTAGGAAGAACTGACATTTTAACAATGTTGACTCTTCCTTTGCAGGAACATCGAATCTCCATTTATTTAGATCTTTGATTTCTTTCATTAGAGTTTTGTTGTTTTCCTCATATAGTTCTTGTATATATTTTGTTAGATTTATACCTGGTATTTCATTTTTAGGGTCTAATATAAATGGTATTACATTTGTAATTTCAAATCCCAATTGTTCGTTGCTGGTATATAGCAAAGTGATTAACTTTTATATAGTAACTTTGTGTCCTGTAACCTTAGTTCCAGGAGTCTTTTTTTTTTTTATTGTTGTGCTGTTATTTTTGAGTCTTTCAGATTTTCTCCATATACAGCCATGTCATCTGCAAACACATTCCTTCCCAATCTGTATGCCTTTTATTTTCTTTTCTTGTCTTATTGCTTTAGCTAGCACTTCCAGTATTCTGTTGAATAGAAGTGGTAAGAGAGGATATTCTTGCCATGCTTCTGATCATAGGGAGAAAGGATCTAGTTTCTCCCCATTAGGTATGATGTTAAGCTGTTGGTTTTGTGTAGATGTTATTTATCAAACTGAGAAAGTTTCCTTCCTAGTTTACTGAGAGTTTTTATCAGAGATGGGTATTAGATTTAGTTAAATGATTTTTCTGCATCAACTGATATAATCACATATTAATAATTTTTCTTTTTTATTCTGTTAATATGATGAATTGAATAAATTCATTTTAGAATGTTAAACCAGCCTTGCATATCTGGAATAATTCCACCTTGGTTTTCATGTATAATTCTTTTCATTCATTATTGAATTCAATATGCTAATGTTTGTTGAGGATTTATGCATCTATAGTCATGAGAAATATTGGTCTGTAATTTTCTTTTTTTATAATGTCGTTGTCTGGTTTTATTTGGGGAATGCTGGCCTCTGCTTCTATCTTTGGGAAGAGATTGTAGAGAACTGGTATAATTTCTTCCTTAAATGTTTGGCAGAATTCATTAGTGAATGCATCTGGGCCTGACGCTTTCTGTTTTAGAACGTTATTAATTCAATGTCTTTAATGTTATTGATTCAATGTCTTTAATACATATAGGTCTATTCTGGATGTTTATTTTTACTTATTCACTGTTCTGCTTTGGGAAAGGAGAGCACAGGGCTGGAGGGAGGAGAAGAGAGGGGGCCAGAGGGGAGGGCACTGTTGGGGAGGGGCTGGGGCTGGAGGAAGCCCCTGTGACCAGCCTTCTGTGCTGACTTTCCCTAGGAGATTGTGTCTGGAGAGAGCCAGCCACTGACAAAACAGCCTGTGAGCTACTCCCCTAATCCAACTCAGAGGGAAAACAGACCCCAGCATGGGGACCTGCCTGAGGTCTCAGAGCAGTCTGGGGTGGGGCTGGGACCCGGTCTGCGAGCAGGCAGCCCAGTCCTGGATGACACTCACCTTGGCCCCCGAGGTGGGCGCCAGCCCCACCGCGGCCATGTAGGTGCTCCCGATGGTTTTGATCTTCTCTAGGTCCTTGTAAAAGTCTTTGTCCATGAGCTTTGTTTAAAACACAAAACTGTTAAACATTACATAACATTTGAGAAAAGTCACCACAGCCGTCAACCACCAGGAAAACAGCATAGCTGATGAATGCAGTCTGGAAAGCAAAAGGTCTTCTCTGTTTTGAGCACCACACAAATTCTGGGACTACATTGGAAAGAACAGGTGAGGAGGGACAGCACAGGACATGCCCTTGTTCTTCCCACAGCTGAGCTCACAGTCACTGGGAGAATCAGGTCCCCAGTGACAGGAGCTGGTAGGGCTGATGCAGAGTCCAGCTGGCTGTGGAAGGGCTTGGGGATACCCCACCCCGCCCACCCATCTGCAGATGATGTACTCAGCCCCGGCCACTGGAGAAGTCTGAGTCCTGATGTTTACAAGGCAGAGGACAAGTGCTCCGCCCTGCCCAGTGGCCCTGGTCCCCTATCCTGGGGTTGAGATCCCCTTCTTTACTGCCATGCTGGATCTGGGCCCCAAAGGAGACAGAATGCCTGTGCTTCCTGCCCATTCCATCTACGGAGAACATGACATATCGCTGAACACACAGGATTTAATCAGGTGAAGGGACACCCGTGTCACCCCGCGAGCAGGATGCATGCTGGGCCAGGCAGGGCCAAGACAGTGAAGCGCAGCCCTCACCTTGTCAAAGTCAGCGATGATCTCGTTGAGCAGCCGCAGACACTCCACCCCCATGTTGTTGCCATCTAGCTCGATATAGAAGTCATTGAAGTTGGGGATGGAGGCGAACATGACGCCCACCTGGGAGTAGGACTGGTAGTAGAGGTCCTAGAAGGTCAAAGGACAGGTCAGCCTGGAGAGTGCCCAGGGAATGGCCAGAGTGGTGCTGGCTAGTGGTGGCCGGGAGGGCACTCACCATGTTTCGGGGGTTGGACATGAGGAAGTGCTGGGCGACATGGGCTGGCAGGAGGTTGAAGAGGATCCTCCTGTTGTCCAGCTTCACCCTCTCCATGTCCTCGCGCTCCTCTTCTGCCTGGGAGTCGAGAGCCGTGGTGAGCCCCACCCATCCATGGTGCCCTCACCCCCCACCCATGCTTCTTCCTAATCTTCACACTGGACGCCCAGTGTGCCCTGCCCTACACCCGTCCCCACCTGACGGCAGGACTGTGTCCATGCTACCAGGCCAGGAGGATCCACGAGTGTCTGCACAAGTCACCACACATCTGCTGGAACATGCAAAGAACAATTGCCTCACCCCACTTTGAAGGTCTGCCCTGTCCTAGCCACCTCTTGGGGACCAGAAGCCACCACAGCTCTTTCTGAGGCATGTGCCCACCAGAGACAGCACCAGTCCCCAGGCAGCTGCCAATGTGACCCCATCCTAGAATGTCTGGAGGCTCCTCGTTTCCTCTGGGACCTCTCTGGCCTCCACCAGAGTGCATGTCCCTCTGAGCACTGAGACAGGGAGAGAGCTGTGCGGGCAGTACCGACCCCAGCGCTTCTCGATCAGCCACAGGACCCTGCAGAGACTGGTTAAACCGACAGTGATGGCCCTACTCAGGGTCCACTGTAAGGGCACGAAAGGTGCCATTGGTGGTGATGTTATCAGTATTTTGGTGAAAACTGTGTAACGGGATATGCTTCAATTAAAAACAAATCTATTCCACAGAGGTCGCACTAAGTTGCAGTCCCACCAGCAGTGTGAGAGTGTTACTGTCTCTCCACATCCTTGCCAGCATTTGTTGCTTTGGGATTTTTTGATAAAGGCCAGTCTCACTGGGGTTAGGTGATATCTCATTGTGGTTTTGATTTGCATTTCCCTAATGATTAAAGATGTTGAGCACTTTTTTTATATGTTTGCTGGCCATTATTCTGCCTTCTTTTGAAAAGTTTATGGCAGCACAATTCACTATTGCAAGGATGTGGAAACAACCCAAGTGCCCATCAACCCATAAGTGGATTAATAAAATATGGTATATGTATACAATGGAATATTACTCAATTATAAGAAACAATGGTGATCTAGCACCTCTTATATTCTCCTGGATAGAACTTGAGCCCATCCTCCAAGGTGAGGTATTACAAGAATGGAAGAATGGGCTCCACATGTACTCACCATCAAATTGGCACTGACTGATCAACACTAAGGTGATCACACGGTAGTAATATTCTTTAGGGGCTGAGGGGTTGGGGGTGGGTAAACTCACAACTAATGGATGCGGTGAGCATTGTAGAGGGGAAAAGGCACCCCTCAAATCATGGTTTGGGTGTGGCAAAGTCATTAACATGTAACCAAAATGTTTGTACCCCCATAATATTCTGAAATAAAAAAAATGAAAATAATAAAAAAAAAAATTAAAAAAAATCTAGGTTTATCACATTGTGATTAAAAGATTTGGTTCTAATTCTACTTCTTTCAACATCTGGATTCATGGGCTATTGGAGAAGCTGTCCTTCCTAATCATCATATACCTCTTAATCCATCCACACATGCCAAGGTTTTTGTTGAAATTTGAATGATAAATGTCCGTCTTCCCTGTGCCAGTTATTTTTATGAACTAAGCAGAAGTTGTATAGTTATATTTTTTAACAAATAAGATGAAAATCCACTGAAATTCTCAATTTATAAAATTTTCCAATCAGGAAGCTCTGTGGGCAACACACATTATTCCTGTCAACAAAGTCACGTGGTAGAGACACATCCGGCTTCCATTTTCAAAATGTCCTCTCCTAGTGTCTTTCAGAGGCATTTCCCTTCTCACGTGTACTTCTGTTTCAGGAATTATTGACCAGGGCACATCTATTGATAGTTATGTGGCATCTCAGAGGAGGTCACAATTTGGGGGCACTTGTCATTTGGGAAAGAGAATAAAACAACAACAAATGCATAGCCTGACCACTCCCCGGTACGCTGACAGTGCGGTAAGTGACTCTCACGCACACAAAACCCCAACAGAGGATTCAGTCTAACTACACCAGCAACCCCAACCCAGCGCCTCTAGTCAACATGCTCACTACAAGAGAACAGCCGTTCCAGGGTGGCCCTGTCCTCGCTCTGTCTTGGAAGTGATGTCCCTACCTCCCTCCTCCAAGTGACAAGGGGCATCTGGCCAAAGTCGGATTGCCATTGCCACATCATTCCTCACTATCAGCAAAGCACGTTTCTGAATTTTCAGGTGCAATCACTACAAATAGGCTTTCTGAGACCCTCTCCCAAGGCCCCGCTGAGCCACTGATGTCTTTCTGGGGCACACACACCCCTCCTTTAGGGGCACCCCACTCTATTAACACCTCCTTTTGGGGAAGCGTAGAAAAGGAAAGGAACTTCCCCAAGCACACAGAGCAGCTAAGACAACAGTCTTCAGCCCCTACGTTAGAGGAACTTAGTCTCTAACTTTGGGGCTGAATCACGTGTGCCTCCTTTGATAACTGGTATTCACTCAACACACAGACTGGAGCATGAAGGTCAAAGATGGCACACATCTCTGCACGTTGTTGCTGTCCCAGGACTGACGAGTCTTAGGTCAGGGTGGCCCTGGCTAGGGCAGGCCAGGCGGGGTGCCCATGTCCAGAACAGCCTGAAATTCGGGGGGTGGGGTGCAGTAGGACACCACACCCTCAGGGGCCATTCCATGCTGCAGGACTGAGAAAGCTCTGGTATCTAGCAGCCTGGCCCCCGGAGGACTACAGTGTAGACTGCGCAGGACTGCAATGAGAAGAGGAATCACCCCTTGCTGATGAATGCTACTGATGTCCTGGGGATGTCTGCGGTTGCAGCACAGCACAGCCGACCCTTAGCATGCCTGGGTTAGGGAGCGACTCCACAGGGCCAAACCCTGGCAGTATATCCCACTTTCCCCCTGCCTTCTCTCCACGCAGTTAGGCCTCTAATGTGCCCCCACCCCATGCCAGTCTCCCACCCTCCTGCGCTCCCTAGGAGGTGCACGAGCACCACACATTCTCCATCCTGGCCTGTGGCTCTCCCCCTGCTGCTTTGCAGGCCTTTCCCTCAAATATGAGCCTTTCAGGAAACAGTCTTGGAGGTCATCTTATGTCCAAGGTAATTAATGAATCCAGTCTACAACATCTCCTCAAGTAGTTACCCACTTTTCCTTGAACACCTCACAGAGACGGGGAACTCACTACTGCACAAATCTGTCTCATCCAAACTTACACACTTCAAGCTGCTGGAAAACGTACATTGAATGAAAATCTCCTTCCCTGGATCTTTTGTCCAGAGTCCGTGGCTCTGTCTTCAGTCTGCTGTGGAGAGCCTTGCTGGGACGGGGAGGGCAGGAATCCCTTACCCCACATCCTCCCCTCAGCTGCTTTGGTTGATCCTCTTCCCCGGGACTATTTGCAGGTCCCCCTCTGGGTGTCCAGGCTGAGCCCAGCAGGCTGGGTGGTGGCCAAGGCCTCTCCCAGGCAGGACACTGGCTCGAGTCAGGGCTTTAGCCAAATGCATGGCTTCCAGCCAGCTCAGACCCCCAGGCCTCTCTCCATGAGCTGGCGCTAAGCCACCTGGCCCTGCCCTGTGCCCAGAAAGGACTCTGCAAACACAGAATTCCCTTTCGGTCTTATTTTGTTCAGTTTGTTCCATCGAGCCAGCTGCTGTGCTGAGCCTGGATCCCAAGCCTGATGGTTCCCCCTGGGGCCAGCTCCCAGCTCTGTGTCCTTCTTAAACCGTAGGACCATGGCCACGTGAGGAAATGACCTGTGAGAGAGGAAGGCAAGGCATGGAGGCAGGTCTTGTTTCTCTGCCGAAGACTCCAGCCTCGCAGGGCCTCCTTGGGGACTGTGTATCACGAACACACGCCTGCTTCTCACTAACGCTTGCTCCTGCTGACGCGCGAGACTGTCCTGGCATCCTCTACACCGTGGGGGCTGTGTGCAGGCGTTCCTAATCCGGACACCTGCGTCCCCCCAGCCGACCACTCAGTGTCCTTGCTCCCCTGCCCCCAGCTCAGCACTCCTGACCCATGAAGCCCTGCCGACACGACCGCTGGCCATCCCGTGAAGCCGTCCCTCTCGTCCAGGCCCCGCTGCCTGCTGTTCCAGGACGCGCCACATCCCTCTTGGCACAGAAGGGATGAAAAGCCCCTACAGATGAAAATGCATTTCAGCTAAGGCTTAATTCTAAGAAATGTGTCTTACATTACTAAGCTACAGTAAGTGAAATCTGAACTTTAAATTTGAACAATTCAATGAATTAAAAATGTTTTCCCTGAGCTTTATTAGAAAATAAGGGAGTGAACCTTCGAAGGCTGCAGTTAGGACGTGTGGATGCATTAGGTGCAGGCACGAGCTCTATGCTGCGCTGGGAAGTCCATGAGTGTGAGCGTGCATGTGTGTGTGTATGTGTGCGTTACATCCTTCTTTCCAAAATATAAAAAGGCAGAACACAGCCTGTCTGTTGTCAGGAGCACAGCCGCTCCTGACAACAGACACGTGGCTCCTGAGCAGCTTCTGAGCAGACAGCCTCGCCTCGCCAAACTGCTGGCACGTCTTCGTTTCTTAGGACGGATGGATGCAGTGAGCTGAAGGCAGAGCTGTGCCTGGTGTTTCAGACAGGAAGCAAGATGGGGTGTTGTTTTAAAGGTAACGAGAACCCGTGATGGAAGTGACGCTGCAGTGGGCATAGCCGATCCTGATCCGGGAGATCTGCTCTCGCTGACCAGCGAGGCCCACCCTCCTGTACGCAGAGGGAAACGGAGGCTGGGAAGGCGGTGTCCAGCCCGCACAACCAGAGCCCAGCCTCTCTGCCGACAGCTCCCTGCACGGAGTGAAGGCCCTGTGAGATTCTTTCTCCGCAGATTTGAATTTCTATTTATGCCAATACAAATTTAGGGGGTAGGATCTGCTAAGAATTAATCAAGCTCAGTTTCAGTGTCTGAAGTGTCAAAGGGAAAACATCAGACAGCTAAACCTAAGAATTATTAGAATTATCCTTTTCAGAAAAGTCAGCATTTCCTGCCAGAGTGAAAGACCTGGTGCAGTGCCGCCTCCTCCAGGAAGCCCTCTTCAGTAACTTTA